AGTGTTAAATTTAAATTACAAAATATCTTTATAAACATTCTTTTTCCACTTAATTTGTATTTCTAACTCTTCACATACTTTGAAAATAAACAAACAGTTTAAACCCACCAGGATGTGGGGGAACCCAAAATGGAATATGAACACCAAGCGTTGAATCCAGCTCTGCCCTAAGGGACACAGTGTCACAAGTGGGTTGTGTAAGGCTGAAGGCAGACAGAGCTATGTGTGAATGTGGTTGCTCCATGCAGAGTGTGCTCCTCATGTGGGGACGGAGGGCTCAGGGGCTGCTTTCAGTGTTCTAGGGCTGAACAGGTATGTACGTGTCCTAGGATGAAGAATTTACCAACAGGGAGAGAGGAGGCTCATGTAGACTTTGTGATGTTGGGTTGGAATCTGAGGTATCACTGTAAACCAAGGAGTAAGCGAATACTGGAAAATACACATTGGGGTGGAGGCTTCTCAGAAAGACATAGAACCTACCTGAAGGACCTCCCAGTGGCCAAAACTTAAGCAGTGTACTGGATTATCAGTAAAGAAAAACGTAAAGATCTACCGGTCTGTGTGAATTAAGTCATGGATTAAATAGTAAGGTGGGGCATAGAAGGCTCATCTTTGAATTCTGAGTGACAAATGTAGACAAAAGGAGAGAAGGCACATGTCACTACCAGGCAGACCCCATGGTGGCAAGCTCTGTTGGCCTGGCCCCTCCGGTGGACCTAGAGTCCTGCAGTATGCCCTGCTGTGCCTCCATTTTCTTAAGTGACTGCTTTAAGCCTGAATTTTCTAAGGCTTTACTGACCTCATTTAAGTTGTCACAGTTCGTGGCATGAAATTGTTGGTGGTATTCCCTGTTCTCATCCTGGTATCGGCCTCAGTCCTACACATCTTCTCATTGGTTTTCATGACCAGGATGGGAAGAGCCTTAGAAATTACTTGTCTCCAAGAATTACCTTTGAGATTTATTTTTTTTCTCTCTTTCCTGTTATTGCTTTGATTTCTGCTCTTTGTTATTTTCTTTTTTCTGAATTTTTGGGTTTAATTTGTTCTTTTCTAATATCTAAAAGTGAAACCTAAGATTATTGACTTGCAGTCTTCTTTTTAATTCAGGCATTTGGTGCCAAAAATTTCCTTCTAACCATTGTATGTTTTGATATTTTGTACTTTCATTTTTATTCACTTAAAAATACTTTCTAATTTCTGTTTGAAAATTTTCCTCTTGACTCATATATTATTTAGTTTGCAAATGTTTTGGATTTTTTCAGGTATCTTTGTTATTGATGTCTAATTTAACTCCAATTTAGTCAGGAAATACTGACTTGAGTCCTTTTGTGCTTTGTGGTCTGTCTGGTGTCTTTTTGGGTGGGTTCACAATGAAAGGAAAGAGCACGCATCACACTGTCCTCAGAGCATCATACAGATGCCTTCCGCCGTGCAGGAGGGTGGTGCTGGTGCTCAAGTCTCCCTTACTAATTGTCTGTCTACATGTTCTGACAGTTTCTAAGAGCAGGGTATTGAAATTTCTAGTTATAATAAACAGTAATTGTAGTTGTGTCCATTTCTCCAGTGCTTTTCTCCATTTCGGCTTTAGCTTGAAGCCCTGTTTTCAGGTACGAGGTTTGGGATTGGTGCATCATCCTGGACCTGCCTTCTTTGTTGTCTCGAGAGTCTTCTGCATCCGTATGATGTTCTTCTTCTAGATTGACTTTGTCTGATACTAATATAAGTTTTACAGCTTTTTTTTGAACAATGTGTGATATATATGCATCTTTTGTAATTCTAATTTGTTTGTATCTATACATATCCGCTATCGCTTAATAGCCAGGCAGGATGTGTGTTGTTGGGTGATTTGCCACCGTGTGTGCATCGCACAGTGTTCTTGCACTGTGATGGCTAGAGTGTCCTTCGGTGACACTCTAAGGGGACCACCTTTGTGTATGCTGTTGTGTAGGACATCCTGGTGCTGAAATGGGTTCCTTGTGCTTGGGTCTGTAATGCTCAGGAGATGGATTTTACGTTCTCCAATGCACACCCTCTCCAGACTGTCTTCAGTCCTCCTTCCACACTTCCTGTTTATATCCAGCAGACGGGGGTCTCTTTATCCCATCTGACAACCTCTGCCCTTTAACTGGGTGTTTGGACTATCTGACGTAGTCATAAATATGATTGATTGGTTTAGTTATCCCTGATTCTGTTACTTAGAAGCTTCGGGTTTTTTTTTTATCCTCTTTACCAAATTATTGCCACCTTGCTAAATGGTAAAAGTCATCATTTACTGGACTTTTTAATGGTTGGAAACATAACATGTCTTTTTTGAATTATGGTAGTATTTTTATTAGTAATTATTGATTTTTTTAGTGTAGTTATGAAATTACAGTTTTGAGTAATCTCTGCAACCTTATTTTTCTCATAGGCAATGGTATTTTTAGTGTAGTTTTTTCTGGATGTGAGGCTCTTCTACAATGTATATATTGTGCCACAGCAGAGAGTCTCAGTTCTGTTTAATCTGCACAAAGAAAAAGAGAAAGGGCCATACCAGTCTGACAGCATTGCCGGAAGTGCTGGACCCCAGGCACTTGACAGGAGTTGTGCCTATGGGCTTCTGTAGGAAGCAGTTCACCGACATGAAGGAGATGGGACTGGGTAGGGCAGGCACGCACAGTCCCTGGGCTTCTTGGAAGCTATTCTTTGAGGGTGTGTAAACCACAGTCCCTGACCTGAGGTCTGTTAGGAAGATGTCCCAGGAAGTAGAGAAAATGGGAGTATACAGCAGTGTCCAAGAATATACCCTTGAAAATGATTTACGATTTAAATCAAGAAGAAAGATTTTTCCAGAAGACTGGCTCTAAACACAGGAGCAGGAGGTCATGAAGAGGAGGGAGGGCCAAGCAGGAGAGATAATGGAATGAATTGTCAAGGGAGGTGGTTGAGAACAAAGTTTAAGGCTTAATTAAAACTTTGTATCAGAAGCCATAAAGAGGAAAGCTGACATTGTAGAAAAGACCAACAGTTGTGTAGAGAACGTACTGGAGAAGCTGCCTGGGAATGCAGAATAAACAACAGATGTGTCAGCGGTGAGAGAGGCCAGATCCCATGGAGAGCTTCCAGCCAACAGCAAAGGAATCTCTCAAGAAGCCAGAGCAAGTTTAATAAGAATAATAACCAAAGATGTAATGTAAGGATATTTTCCTGAGCAGGAAGAAGAGCAGTGTGTATTAAAGGGTCATATTTTGAGCAAAGTAAATGAATATACTTTAGTCCATCCATCTTCTGACAACACTTTTGAATTTTAGGGTTAGAGCAAAGATATACTAGTGGTATCCTGGCTGAAGACAGTGACAACAGCACCAAAACCAAGTTCCTCAAAGTTTAGACAGGAACAGTGGTTAAGCAGAGTTCTCCATAGTGCTGAGCATGGAGCAGCCTCTGAAGGGTTGGAAGGAGGAATGTTTATGATCCAAGACGTACACTCAGCCAAGATGTGGTTTTTGTGTGAAGGATGCAGAATCCTTTCTGAGATTCACAGAGGTTTGTGGGATTGTACCATCTACATTCCCTTCAAAGAAATGATTTTTCTTTCAGACCAAGAGAGGAGTAACAGTCCTGAACCTGAAGGATTCAGAACAGTAGTCATAAAGATAGGAGCCATAGTTGTAGATAATCATGTAAGATTGGAAACAACTTCCATAGCCAACCCTTGGGGCAGTCTCTAACGTGGTGACTTGGTTAGGGTTTTTTAGTTACGCGAACTTGGGGTATGGTTCTTGACTAATTTAATCAGGGAAAGGAATTTGCTACAGTCTTAAAGGAAGGCATGAGTACAGAAGCCTCAGAAGGCCCTGGGTAGGGCCAGTCTAGGAGTCTCCAGAGCAGGCATTCCTGGGTTTGTCTTTTGGGCTGATCTTTGCGATGACTCTGCTCTCTGTAAGAGTCAGCTTTTGGGGAACAGGCTGGAATCCGTAAGTTGCTCTTTGGCAGACCTGCTCCCCAATACATGTACCAGGCACTGACACAGTGGGGGGCAGAGATGGCTGCAGAAGCCTTCAAGGTGTTCCCAAGTGTCTGCCTCTGGTCACCTTTCAAATACTCTCCTAGAAGATCATTTTTTTTTTTTTTTTTAATCAGAAAAGGAAAAATAACCCCCAGCAAAGGTAGCTACTAAGATGGAAGCCTGGGGAATGATTGAAGGCACATTGTGGTGGGGGGTGGCTATAGCTCAGTGGCACAGCATGGTCTGCCTGGTAAGTGCAAGGTCCTGAGTTCAATTCCCAGTACCAAAAAAAATCAAAGAACAAAACAAAACTAGGTGCACCATGACAGGGATACAATTGAATTAGGATCTAGTTGTGTGAGCTATCCACACGGATGTAAATGTCTGTGGATACAGGTCAGATGTGTGTGGCAGAATGAATGTGTGGTGGGAGCAGGCTGAGTGACTTTTCTTTTAAAATGTTTTCCTCTGTATTTATTTTGCAAAATAACATAGCTTGGAATACATTCCTGTCAGTGGGCTACTGCTAGGGTGCTGCTCTCTTCTACAAGCCTTGATGTAGGGAAACGGGGCACGGGTAAGGTGGCACCTGTAGGGCAGAGTTTCAGCCCATGGTGATGTTGGTCATTGGGTGGCATTGGTCCTCTGGAGGCATTTTTGGCTGTCGTGACAGGGTGGTGGTGGTAATGCTTCTGGTGCTCCTGGCATGGGGGCATGGAGGCCATGGATGCTAGTAGGGGTTAGAGTGCATGGACAGCCCTGCCCCAGCAGAAAACACCCATTCCCTATTGTCCTCATTAGGCTGGGAACCATGCTGTGCAGTGACACTTGTTCATGTGTGTGATTTGCCACCCCCCACCCCCCATGAATGGTAGAAATGGTATGGTGTGAATCGTTTCTCCAGTCCCTGATGAAAGCAGGCTGGAGACTGAATCTGTGCTTCCTCAGTTAGAGGCTGCTCTGTGGAGTGCGCCACCCTCACTGAAGCGTTCTTCTTTTTCTACCCATGCAGGTTCACTGCCTCAAAGCCAGGTGAAGACCTCTGCTCTCCCTGTGGATTACTTGCTGTACAAGACACCAGCAGTGAGATTCCAGAGCTTATGCGCCTGTGACCTGACCCTCCTCATTTCGTTACTTGTATGTGTTGGTGGAAGTTCGCAGCTCTTTGGAGCTGCTGTTTACGTGGAACCTTTGAGCCATTTTCAGTTGACTGAAGGCTTGGACGCTGCTAGCAATGAGCTCCCAAAGCCATCCAGGTAAGGCTCAGGCCCTTTTCTCTCTGCAGACAGCGGGCTGTCTTGGCCGAAAGCACGTTGCTGTCCTGCAGCCTGCTGACTGGATGCCAGACCTTTGTTTTTCTTGGTGATAGCCACTTTCGGGTTTTTGACAGCTCTGAGCACAGGTAGCTCGTTGAACCTTCAGTGAAAGGGGAGCTAGTGAAAACCCGGTGGGAACTGGACTAGTCTTGGGTTTGATCTACATGCTGATGTGGCAGTTTCCTGATGCCAGAAGGACAGAGTTGCCCTGGAGTGAGGTGATGTCAGAAGACCAGCTTATGATTTGGACAGTTACTTTGTGGTCCAGCAGCTTGTTTTTAGGGTGGGGTATTCTGTGAAGGACCCTGGGCAGAGGCTGGCAGAAGCCATGATCTGCATCCATAGGCAGTGACTCGAGCTGCTGTCAGGGTTCTACTCTTGTTTTTCTGGTTGCAACACTAAGAACTTGACAAGCATTTAAGGTCTCAAAACTGCAGGGAGGAAGAGCCTTGTCCAAGGTCACGTCACTGGGAATGGTGGAGTGGGACTGGAAGCCTGTGCCTGGCTCTCATTGTCAAGTATGTAGGGCTTGGACATGTGCGATCTCCTGCCTCTTGACCATGGAGAGGCAAGTGTGCACTGCAATGAGCCCGGAGGGCCCTGCTTGTTGCTCCAGGTGTGGGCCTCCTGTGGGGCCACAGGCACAGCTGCCTGCCCTCTGGCCCCTTCCAGCATACTGTGTGTGCGGCACCTAGGTGTCAGTGCCTAGCTCACGTCCACCTGAGGAGCGGGCCTGGGTGGACCCGGCTCAGGTGCCTACGTACACCAGGGCTTGTCAGCCTTCACTGTGGGCCTGGCTCTGGGGTGGCTCAGTGCCTAGGCCGCTCCTTCTGGGATTGCCCTTGGATGAGGGTGTGATTGGCTTTATCTGAAAGCTTCAGAGGGCAGGGTTCCAGGCTTTATTTAGCCATGAGATTTTATTGATTCAGATTGTTCATGTATTGATTGATGTAAAATAGTTTATGGTCATTGTAGGAAAACGTTAAGCCCAAGAGAGTCAAGGGTGTGCGGCAAGCTGGCTGGTGTACAGCTCTGCCTCTGCTCCCTGGGGTGCTGTGGAAGTAGGGGTGTGCTCTGTGCTGCGACTGTGACGTGTTAGCATGTACCCACTTCAGTAGTACCCATTTTGTGCTTGGGGTTCTGTTTCCTGCTTTTTTTATTGCAACATATTTTTCTTTTGTAACATTTGAGCATCTTTGATGGCAGTATGAGTATAAATAACATGCTTTTTGATAGCTTGTAAATGGATATTTATGTGGTTGGCTGCAGGGCTATTTGTAACAGCTCCATACTGGTGTCAGACAATTATTTTACATGTATTTGTACGTTTCTTTGTGTCTCCACCAGACAAACTCCAGGAGGCCGAAGCCAGGCCAGCTGGTGGTGTGTGTCTGGTGTCTGTAGTGCGCTGTGAAGCTGCTGACCTGCCCAGGCACTGCTCACACGGAGGCGTGCGTCCCCTGTGTGCACCACTCCGGCACTGCCTAGATTATGTCTGGTTTACTTTTGTTAATGTGCTGGGGAAGTTACTGTGCTCACCTAGTTACCTAAGATGGGGGATGCATACTTCTGTATGACTGGTTAGACATAGTCAGATCTTGTGTATGTCACCTAGACATTTGAAGAAAAGTATGCCCTTATTTTTTGGTCTAAAGAAATCCATAGGTATTTATCATACTATATTTAAAAATTTCTCACTCATATAAATTATATAGTTATATGTAGCAGTATCTGTAAGCCTTATATGTTATTGATATATATTAACTCAGTCAACTTATTTAAATCAGTGTAGCACTCTTTTTGTCTGCATTATTCTAGGAAATGTGAATTTTTTTTTGTTGTGATTATACTGTTGTAATGTTCTTTTTACATTAACCTTTTATTTTTATTCTTTGCTCTATATATTGAGGTTTTTTTTTTTTTTTTTTCCAGCACTTAAACATTACTAACTGTCCTTCTGGTAGACCAGGTCTCCCTTCAGAGTACAGTGTCTTTCTCTTGATTTAGTATTTATTTGCCAGAAGTTAATCTTGTTTCATAAAAAATATTTCTGTCCTGGTCTTTCGGTTAACAGGTATCTCCTAATGTACTCATCTCTGACCTTTTCTGCCTGCCTTCCTTAAGGTCAATCTGTGTAAACATAGACAGCTGGATTTTGACTTTTCCCCTCCAGAAAGTCTTCACCTTTTTTATGGAGAACTTAATTCTCTGAGGTTTATTTCCATCCCTGCCTGTCTGCATAGCCCTGCCCCGTCAGGCTGTGCATGTGTTGCCATCCCTTGCCGCCCTCTGCCCTCTGAGCTGTGGGTTGGCAGAGGTGCAGCCGGAGCAAGGCTGCCTGTTGGCTGGAGCCCTCCCTTCAGTCCCTTGCTGGAGCTGTCAGCTGAGGGCCTGCAGCTTGCCAGTACCCGTGCTTCCTTCCCAGCCCTCAGTTCCTCCAGGGCCTGCCCTTGGCTAGCTACCCCAGTCCTCTGGTCACCCCTCCTTCACCCTGCTGCTGTGGGACCTCCTAGTGACTGCCTGTTCTGGGATCCTGTTGAGTTCATGGTTTCCAGGAAATTCTCCAAATTTCTCATCAGCTGATGCACTTGTTCACCCACTGTCGAGTGTTGCTATAAATCTTGTCAGTTTCATTCATATTTTGTCATTTTAATGACTCTTAGGGAAAAAGAAGAATAACTAATACCCAATTACTCAATTTGTGTGCTCACTGTCTTGCTTTCTTGCTCTCTCACTTGCTCTCCTTGCATTTCGGATTGGGGCCCAAACCCAGGTCCTTTTGTACACCATGCATGTTTGGTTGTTGCTCCTGCAGTGTCCTCTTCTCTCTGGGCTCTTCTGTGCCTCCTCTCCTGGCTGGCTCCTTTCCTTGCCCCGGCCTGCCTGGCATGCCCTCACCTGTCTGCCCACCCACCTGGTACGGGTCCTACCTGCTCACTTTGTTCCTGCGTGGCCTGATGCATGTGGATGTCAGACCCCAATGGAGTCCAGTGCCATTGGGTTCCCTCACTCAGGTTGCTGCCGCAGTTTGGCTCCACCCTGGTGATAAAGTGGCATTTTGTTTGATGTGTAACTCTTGTCTCCTTGTTTTCCTTTAAACTCCTTCTGCTGCTGGGTGGGGTATACATTATGATTTTATTGCTGTTCTTTCTGAACTTCGCCAGAGCCAGGCCCTGGCTCTCTGACGTAAAAGCTGCTTAACTGTTGGGATTTATTGCTCTAAATAACTGTTTCTGATGCTGTGAGGAGCCTGGGGAAAGGCCTTGGGTTGATTTAGTTTTTGAGAACTCTTCTTTAGAAAGAAGATCTGTAATGTGCTTCTGGCCTGCCCCTGTACTATAGACATCTCCCTGTTGGGATGTGCAGAGACAGGCCAGGATGAGTTCACAGGGCACAGAGCCTCTGCTTTCAAGGGGAGTTCCTGGCATCAAATGAGTGGGGACGGATGCCACGTGGCCTGCTGCCATAGGAGCACAAGCAGCCACTCCTTGTTTTGCTCCAATAACTGATTTTCCTCATTCTTCCCTGGGGTTGCAGTGTTCCTGGCTGGGGTGTTGGCACTGTGACTGGCTCCCAGGAAGACCAAACATTGCACTCAGCTGCCCACTGGACACTGCTCCGCTCCTCCGAGAACTCGCCCTCTTTGCCAGAGTGTGCTTGCCTAGATAGCCTCGCTGAAAGCATTCTGATCTCCTGAGCCCACGGTGGATTGCTGGGACACGTCTGTGGCTACCCAGATGATGCCCCTGATAGCTGGAAACAGGTTGAGCAGGGCTAGCAGGGAATCATTTGGGTATCCTATCTCGCCTTGGATCTTGGTGAGAGGGCTGAGTAGTGTTTAAAACAGAGTCACCATTTTGAGAGACACTTGTGTTGTGCTTTGATTTAGGCCGTTCTATGGAGTCTTGCTGTGCTGTTTGTGTGAAATACCCCACTTACACGAAAGCTGCTAGAGTAGTAACTGAGTGATTGTAGGTGCAGGGCTGTCACTTTTCTGCCAACCAGTATCAATTGGGTGGGGCAGAGCGGGAGTGAGGGGTCTTGGGATCTTGTTGTTCTCCTGCTCCTCTTGCATCTATAGTGTCTGTCTACTAAGGTTGTTATGTGTTAGCAAAGAAATGATCTTGTAAGGGAATGTTCTTACGCATTTAAATCATCTCTGCCATAGTTGAACGTTTCAGGAATACTGTCATTTTTAAGGGGAAAAAGTGAATTTTGTGGGCCCAATTAACATAGTGATTTTGAGCTGCTGGTGATGGGCAAATTGCAGACCAGGGTTCCACCTGGCAGTGGAGGTGACTACAGAGCCTAGTGGCTGTGGATGAGGCCGGGCCTTGGCAGCTACATGCGGCTGGCCATGCAGCCAGCAGCAGGAGGCTCAGAACAGTCCGAGAGGACCCGCTTCATGACAGGGAGGCACGAGGAGGCCGGCAGTTGGAGAGCTGAGGCTCAGGACAGTTTAGGCGGTGGGCAGCACTTGCTCCTTCTCTGCTGTGTGAGAGAGAGACATGAAGATTGTGTTGGCTTTTCCTTGCTGTGACAGAATTCCTGAGGAAAAGTTTCTAAGAGGCAGCATTTACTTCTGCTCATAGTTTTCAGAGGGTCCAGGTTGGCCTGCTGCCTTGCTTTAGGCTTGTGGAGGAGAGTTAGCAGTGGAGGGAGACCCCCCCCCCAGAGGGAAGATCTGAGGACAAGACACTTCCTAAGTTACACACACTCCTGTGGCCCCCTACCTTCAAGAAGGCCTCACCTCCTAAGTTTCTATCACTTCCTAATGCCAGCAAATCATGAGTCCCATCAGCGGATGAGCCCACTGTGGAAAGTAGGGCCTGGTGATCCAGGCACCTTCCCAAGCCCAACCTCGAGTCATCTGAGCCCTGGGGGCACGTTTTAGAGTCCAGCTGTAGTACAGATGCCCCTGGCAGTGGGGCTAGGGCGAA